GTCTAAATTTAAATTTTTAAACCCTAAAAAATATTTTGACACTTAAAAAACTCTAAACTCTTCAAAACTAAAACCTAATACAACATAACCCTAATATAAATGATATAGTGAATAAATAATTTTTGAAAAATCAGCATTTTTGAAAGTTGGTACTTCAAAAAGTGGCATTTTTCACTTTTGTTTTTTTTTTGGTCAAAACAATCTTTCCATTACTCAAAATTAAACGTGGCCCATTACATGATTAGAGCCCATTTTGGCTAGCTGATCAGCTCTCTGATTTACCGATCGAGGAATAACATTGAATTTCGCAACATCAAAGCCTTTAGCACATAGGCGAATATCTTCTACAGCTCCATGGATCTCCGGCGTCGAAGAACCGTAATTGATGGCTCGAATCAGTTGGTGTGAATCAGAGTTGAAGATCACCGCTTTATATTGCAAGGTCGATGGCTGAAGAACTGCTAATCTCATCGCCAACGCTTCAATTGCTAAAGCAGAAGACACATGAAGATCTGATCTGGTGTGTTCCACTATGGGGGAGGAGACTGACTCAAAGGTCCATCCAAACCCTGCCATACCCGAATTGGCCATCCAAGCCGCATCGGTGAAACAAGTGATAAATCCATCCGAAAGAGATCGAGGATTTTGTAGATTGATCGATTGTGTTGCCATCGTCGGGGGATCCACAATCGATTGGGCAGAGAGCCATTCCCGAGCATCCTTCATAGCTCTGTAGATGGTTTCCTCCACCGTCAGTATTCTATTGCTGAATACTTTCTAGTTCCTGGAGATCCACAAAGACCAACATATCCATGGAGAAAGGGTGCCTTTGTCGAGTCCAAAAGGTGACAGAGAGAAAAGTTTCCTCACACTCTGGATCCCCTCTGTAACATCTGTGAATTGGGAGGTATCAAATCTCTCTGTACTAGCCTCTTTCCATACTGCTTTTGCAAAGGGACAATGAAACAACATGTGTATGATTGACTTTGAATCGTTACATCTGCAACATTTTGTCGTAGATACAACATTACGCACTATCAGTTGTTCTCCTACCGGTAACGCCCCATGTAAGGCCGTCCACATGAAGAGCTTGATCTTTGGCGGCGAGTTCAGTTTCCACACTTGACTATTCCAGTCTATCCTCACCGGGTTAGTTCTAAGCTTGTTTGATTCTGTTTCTGAAGCTACTATGTAGCTTGACTTTGTAGAATATTCACCGGATGGGTTCTTTAGCCATACTCTTTTGTCTTTCGCCCCCATTATACTAGGTTTAATTTTAAGAATCTCATTCTTATGGTGCGGTAAGATGTGATCAATTTGTTCCTCATTCCATGCTGTCGAATTTGGAAATAACAGGTCACATACCTTAAGATGTTGCAACTGTTCTGGTACTGGCCCTATTGGTTGAGATATTTCCAATG